AGAAAATCCATGCTCCACGTTTGTTAGGGATTTCTCCATGTTGTTTTTTATATATATATTTATATAAGTCTTTTATCTGTTTTAATACTTTATGTTGATTGTGTAAAATAAAGAGAAACATCCAGGCTCAGGTTCTCGGTAGATGTTCAAAGTTATGTAGAAAAACTGGTTTGAGTGATGAAGTGGATTCATATGTTATATTCTCTGTGCACTTTATTTTATTATGGTGGAACATACAAATGAATATACTCTTCCACTGTTCCTCCTACAGTGAAATCTGTGTAATTCACATACCCTGTAATTCTATTTTATATCTACTTATGATTCATGTTTCTAGTGGATTGTTTGTGGACATATTTGTTTGTCATGTAATGTCTTTACTTTGAATTTGAATTTGAAACAGTTTGAACGCAAAGATCTTAAATGAAGGTGGATGACACGTCTCCACTTCCTGTCATTATGCAAAATCAAAAAACATTAAAATATGCTAGATACGGGTGCAGACGTCATTTGGAGACAGAGTCTGTGCAATAGTGATTGTGTGGAACCACGGCCTATATTCTCCTTCTCATTCTCAGTTTTCAATCATGTTACTGGAAACTTGAAACCATCACTGGAGTCATAACAAGACTTTTTTCAAATCTCCCTTCTTCTTCTTCTTCTTTGTCCTTTTGGGGCAAATAATTCAAGGTGAACAGTCAAATGGTGCATACAGCACCTGCAGTTCACCTTGACTTACATTTACTGTAGTTTGTTTAGTGGCTCTCCAAGTACGATAAGCAAGGCAGGTGATGTTAGAACTCCTTTTTCTTAAGGATGATATTCTGTAGTTCCCAGTTATTCAAAAAGTTGGCATGTTTGAATAAATCTTTATTGAGATAAACAACATTTAATGCAAAGATACAGAAAAAAAACAATGACAAGTAGGTTTATTCATTTGTGACCTTGCTGGTGTTTGGTTCCAAAAACCTTAAGAGCAAGTTAACAACCTATAAGATCAGTCTTTGATTCCAAACAGCAGAAATGAATCTTAAACGCTTCAAGCACACAACACATCTCACAAAGTTCATTATTTCGACGCACACTCTTTGGCTGTAACAGTGAAAATAAAGTACAGGATGCTAATATTAGATACAGATCTTGAAATGTGGGATGATATATGCATGAGATACGAATACAAGCACCATGTTTATTATCTAGATAACCCATTAAATGCATTGAAATAGATTATAGAGTAAAACAAAAAAAGTGATCTAAACAGTAGTGCTGCAAACATGACATCGAGCAGAAGAGTTGACATTTTCCACAATAAAACACTTTCAGCATCATCGTGGATCATCAGCTCTAGCACAAGCACACTGTTAGTACACAAACACAAACGAGCCATGTGTCCTTTAAAGTATTTAACGTGCCGTGATGTTCCCAATTTTCTGCACACGTTATAAATATATGATCTTACAGGTAACAAAGTTGTGTTTTACCGATGTGACCGACGCTGGGTGGACAGCAGGGACTCGTAAAAGACTGATGCTGGTTTCCAGCTGCAACGTCCACATTTATCGATCGTCTTTTGAATGCAGCACCGTCCGGTTTGTCCAACTTCATCAGCCATTTGAAAGTGGCATCACTGAAGCCGGGGGTGTGAATATACTGGTATTGCATAACCTCGAGTTTTCACACAAGATTATGGGTGAACGAGGAGTTCACCTGTCACCCACCCACCCTGGGGTCTCCGAGAGGACGGGATCAGATGTTCCTGCAGCAGGGTTTATTCTCCTCCGTGTTATCTGCTCTGGAGCTGTTCAGGGTCACAGCGCTGATGGAGCCTCGAACCACTTGCTTACTGCTCACCTTCTTATGAATCTCTGATGCAAGAAAGTGACATATATTAATATTCACTAAGAATGTGTCTGCAGAGAAAGAAGCGATGGTGAAGTTTTAACATATACAACCACGGATGTTTCTCCCGAAAGCAGCCAATCAAAATCGGACCCGTGACCAGCAACTTAAAGATGGCTCTAAGTTAAATTATTCAAACATATTTGAGAAATCATTTTTGTATGCATCACATTTATAGAGGAGAGACAGGAAAGGGAGGAAATAAAAAAACATCAACTTTAAAGGAGCATTATTCAAGTTATTACAAAGTAGTAAAAAAGGACAGATACATTAAAATAAATTACCTTCTAGGACTTTGCTGAATGCTTCTTCCACATTAGTTGAATTCAAGGCCGAGGTCTCCAGAAACAAAAGACCTTTCTTTTCTGGATGACACAAAATAAGCAAAGTTAGTTATTTTATATATATTTTATATTTATATGAGGATAAATAAGTAAGAATGTATGTCAACAGGAAAAACCTATGAATGTATTTTTGCGAGCAGACAAAAGTTAATTCCCTGTGATCATTCATTTAGTTTTCATTGCAGTGATTTTCAGCTCAGAGGTTGTCGACACGTTGTACCTGCAAAGTCTTTAGCCTCCTCGGTGGGCACCGATCTCTCGGACTCCAGGTCGGTCTTGTTGCCCACCAGCATGACCACGATGTGGGAGTCGGCGTGTTCGTACAGCTCCTTCAGCCAGCGCTCCACGCTCTCATAGCTGACGTGTTTGGTGATGTCGTAGACCAGCAGGGCTCCAACAGCACCTCGGTAATACCTGTTTGGAGGAGATAGACTTTTATAGCATGTGACATTTGTCTTATTCGGGTCGATGTGTTGTCATTTTAACAAACATACCAAACTAATTTGGGAATTCTTGATATTTTTTATATTCTAAAGTTTCCTCTTCCTTGTTTTTTAATGACTTCCACGTCTTTCTTAGTCAGTTTATAGTTTGGGAATGTTTTTTTTTACTTTTTACTGGAGTGGGAATGCAAAAGACCCCATTCTCCCTAAATCATTGCAGAATTTAAATTGTTTTCAAGCTGTTGATTCAAGCAAAACATTATTAGCATGATGTTGCTTTAAGTCCAATGGCTCCGTTTACAGTCCTTATCACCTGCTGAGATGACAATGTTCACGTGCCACAGGTCTTTGTATGTCTGCCTTTAGTTGCTGGGCAGGAAGTAAAAAGTGGATTTTTAGCTGTCATGGTCAAAAACAACACAGTGAGGGCAGCGACAGTGAAAGCTGCACTAACAGCTTCTCCTGGTCACATGAAAAACGAAATAAGAAAATAAAATATCGATTATAGCTGCTTTAGGGCACTGCCACATCTTTAGTGAATAAACTCTGAAGTCATGAACCAATCCATACACCCGTCACTATTACATTACTGCTCCACTCTACCAGCAGCATAATTAATTCCACTTTAATAGGTTTTAGCTGCTTGTTACAGCACAAATTGGAAATTCCATGGGAGTGGGAATTTGCATACTGGAATAAGTCTGTAAGTAATTACTCAAGAAGCTAAGCAGTCAGAAAAGAGCTAATCCAGCCGTGTGGCATATCCTTAGAATTTTTCCCGTGTCTTAAATATAAAACTGACACGGCTCTATTGTTTTAAAACCAGTTTCCACACTGTCAATCCTCCCAGTTCAATTACGAAAAAAAGAAGAAGAGAGCCACGAGCGCTGAGCGTTCAAATAAAGGTCTCGGCTCTAACCGATTGGATTTTGCAACCAAAGTGTGTCAGTTAGAAATTGTCAGGTAATGTGGGCGCATCAGTGCTTGTCCTTGTGTGTTTCAGCTGATAAATGAAACACCGTAAGAGGTCGACATGCCACTTTCTCCCATTGTCCAGAAATTAAGCCAAAATATCCGCCATCCTGCACATTTGGAGCCAGAGTCTGTGCAGCAGCGATCGTGTGATGGAGCCGCAGCAGCGAGATCTCGTCGATGCACGAGTCAGTCAATTATGACGCTTCACCCTGTTCTTACATCATCAGATCACTTGTTAAAACCAAACTGGAATAGACGTGTAATTTGACTTCTTTAATTTGGTGCATGTCCAATCCACTGACATGGAGGAGGCAGGATTTTTTTGACGTATACTGCAGCCAGCCACAAGGTGGTGACTGACGCATTTTGGCTTCACTTTTGCGGAGCTGTCATGTCGTCCATCTTTATATTCAGGCTGTGAGTGGATATTAGCTTTGGACAGTTGCTGCCTTGCTATTTCCCCGTTTCCAGACTTTATGCTAAGCTAAGCTAATCGACTAGTAGCAGCTGCTTCATATTTACTTCAGAGGTCAAAACTGAGTTTCTCTTGCATGTCCAACAAAAAACATTTTCGACCAATTTTTTTTTTTCTATTAAAAGTCATCCTGGTTTAAATTTCTTTTGATTTTCATTTCCTGTTTTATTTTGATATTTCTTACCTTGTGTATCTGGATGTTTGACTTCCTGTCTGTCTTCCCGCCCCTTGTGTTTCACCTGTGTCCTGTTATCCCGACATGTTTACCTGCCTGTGTGTTTAGTGTCTGTGCTTCCTGTCGCACCTCGAGCTGCTGCTCAGTGTTCTGTGTCTATTTGTCTCAGTCTCACTTCCTTTGTGTATTTTTTTAAGTTTGGACTTAGCGTCTCTCTCGCTACAGGTGAAACTGTGAAAATCACAGACTCAAAGGTAGGACACCAAACCCAGAAATACAGACGTGGTTATAGATAAGATATTATTTCTGTGAGTGCATGGATACACAGGTTAATATTAATATCTTTAAAAACTGCGATGGCGTCTCGGCACTCACGCAGACGTGATGGCCCGGTATCGCTCCAGTCCCGCCGTGTCCCAGATCTGGGCCTTGATGGTGTAGGTGCTGAACTGCACCGTCCGTGTGCTGAACTCCACCCCTATTGTTGTACGAGTATCATGGTTGAACTCGTTTTTGGTGAAGCAGGACAACAGGTTGCTCTTTCCTACGCCAGATTCACCAATCAGCACCACTGAAGAAGACACACACACACACACACACACACACACACACATAATTACACAGGTATTTGAATGACAGATGCAGGTTTTGGATTCAGGGTTTGGTCATTGCAAAACTAAACGCAGTCTGTCTGAGACAAAACAAATATGGACCAATCCTGACCACACCATCACTTAAAGCCCATATTAACTAAAGCTTTTATTCTAGGTGTGTCTCTTCAAGGTTGGCCCATGAATCAACACTTGTGGCTGCTTGGGACTGGGGTTCCTTACACCATTATGGATAATGTCCTGTCCAAATAGAAAAACGCCCTCATGGCAAATACCGTAATTATTTCTACTCGGGGGTGCAGACAGGATGTGTTGCACAAATCTCCTGAGAACTAAGGGGGATGTAACAGAAAACACCAGATTGTTGAAATTCATCCGTACAAATAATTATAATAATACATGTTACATGATTTCTTGCTTCTGAGTGAAAGTTGTAAATTTTAAACTCTTCAGACAAACAAAATATTTTACAAATCTGACACAGATGCATCATGTCACATATCGACACTCTTTCTCCGGGAACGTAAGGGGATTCCTTACGAGGTGGAACAGGTTGATCTGCTACCTCCTCATATCTTGATCGCAGAAACCTAACTCCTGAGTAAACGGGAGAAGAAGTAGCTCGGACAAACCCTTTTATCTACTTGACTAATGTTTGGGTTTCACTTGTGACTGACTCAGAGAGAGAAAGAAGGCTTGGTTTAATTGGCACATATGGGAAAGTGTGACCACGCTGTGAGAACACTGGCGATGAGATCTGAGACACAGTCACAGTTTATTGCCGAGGCGTGGGAGCTTGAAAACACTGAGGTTATAATCCAAGCTCTTATGACATCCTCAATTTGGATTTAGCGTGAAGTGATAGGACGTAAAATAATAGTTTTGATAGTTTTGAGGAAAATACACATTTTGAATCCTTTCTGAGACTTAATATATAGTCTAAATGTTAAATACATAACTACAGTTTATAGACCATTAGTTTAATTTATCATAGAGACTGAAACAAGACAAGGTCATGTTAGGCTAGGATAGGTTAGGATAGGTAAGGCTAGGATAGACTAGGCTGGGATAGGTTAGGGTAGGGTAGGGTAGACTAGGCGAGGCGAGGCTAAGCGAGGCGAGGCTAGGTTAGGTTAGGTTAGGGCAGGGTAGGGTAGGGTAGACTAGGCTAGGCTAGGCTAGGCTAGTTTAGGTAAGGAAAGACTAGGAGAGGCTAGGATAGGATAGGATAGACTTAGCTAGGTTAGGCTCGGCACGAGATAGACTAGGCGAGGTTAGAATAGGTGAGTGTGGCCAGCATGATGCAGTTTAGATTCAAGTCTTGTCAGTACTGATATTTTCATACATTTAAACACCCAACATTATATGTCTGTAGAATTAGCTTTGCCTTGACAACACTAAAATAATTTGTACATGTGTCAAAAATCAATTTCCAGTTTAGTTGAAAGAAAAGAAGAAAAGTTTAGAAAACAGTCTCAAGGTTAATTCAGGGATCGCGCTGCCACTTCGAAAACCTCATGATCTTCTTTCTGAAAGTTTCTAAATCGCTGCATCCGAGGCCAAGAAACCATCTTCAACTCGAGTTGACGAATCCCTTCTTCACTTCTCTGAGAACCACTGCAAAAAAATGTTGGCTCGTCCTTTTCCCTGAACATCTGTTGATTCCCATAAAGCTGCACTCTTAAAACACAAATGACTTATCCCCAGTTCTTGAATTACAGAATGTTTAACCAGACGTCTGAGGTCACATCAGAGAATGTTTTACAAGTTCTTCTACTTCGTCTATTTGAGGTAACTGATCACTCCATTGCGGTTTTTTTTCTCCAGTGTCGGGTAAGAATGTCTGTTCTCCTCCTCCTCTAGTCCACGACTGAGTAACTTCTTATGCAAACAATAACCCTGGTTTCTATGGCGATGTAGAACAAGAGGCCATGCCACTCTATGGTGGACTGGTTTCCTGAACAAGCCGAGACAAACTTGATGCGTTGCAGCGAGGATTCAAAGTTCCTTCTGTTTGTTTTCATGACCTTTAGGAGGAAATGCAGCAGCAACACTTCACTTAGCGGAGTTCTTCCTCAGTGAGTCCACGTACTTTACATGGAGGGACGAGTTTGCAGGTTCACATTCCAAGCAAACATCGTACAATCAGATTTCCTATCCTGTACATACTTTTGAGATAATAAAAGCTGCAAAGAGCACTGCATTAGTGAGTGAGTTTATTCAATGATTGCAATCTGTCTAGAGAATTCACTCCTCACAGGCTGGAGGAGGGATCCCTCCTCTGTCGCTCCTCCTCCCACACATTAACTCCTCGCAAAACCCCCAACATGTCGCTTTTAAGTTTTTATGAAACCAACAAGTAACAGAGTGGCACTCAGTCGCACGTTCCTCCACCAAGGCCAAACAATCCTACACAATCCTAACTCTTGTAGTAGAAATACGGAAAAGGAAGTGGTCTGATAACCTGAACAGCACTCAGTGGAGCCACACCTCTTCCAGGGCCCAACTGTCTAAACTCAATCAAGCCACACCAACTTGCAGACACTCATAAATATCAGATCCATAAATATGTCGATTTTTTTCATAATGATCCAGGAATCATTCACTGGGAAATTGGTAAAAATGTGGTGAGTTCTTCGCAGGCCGGGACCCATCCCTCCACCAAGCTGGAAATCGGTTTGGTAGTTTTTGCCTAATCCAGCGAAAAATAAACCAACAAACAAACCTGCGTCTAAACACAACCTTCTTGACTTCTTGTCATTCAGTCAATCTTTAGACAGAACTTCGTTTCTGTCTGGTTTTCCTTGCTTCCAGGCTTTCTGCTAAGCTAACTAGCAAAAGTTAAAAGTTACCTTACACCCGATGTTGATATCGATAATAGGGAGTTCAACATTTATGATACCAATATATTGGATGATATATTTATTAGATATATATCTATAGATATTTTACTTTTAGTTTTACTAGAATTGTTTGAAGTTTAAAAAGTTGCGTAGATTTCAAAATCTCTGCCTTTGACAGTGCAGAGATGGAGGGGACATATGAGGACAGAGCGGGGGGGTGATATGAAACAATGGTCTGCAGCTGGAATTGAACAGGGACGTCATTGACATGTGGCTTGTTTCTCTTAAGTCCTGTGAGGCAAAGTTGACCGTCTGTATATTTAATTTTACTCTTGGACTCCAGCATCACTTACTTCACAAGTTATTCTGACTTCTCCCCCCACCTACTTTCATCTGTCCAGTGCCTTTTATCAATATTCCCAACCAACCTCCTCCCCACATCTGTTCAGAGCCACCTGGCACCTTCAGATGCTGCACATAAGAGAGAATTACTGTGCTGCACTTAACGACTGATTAACAAGTTAATAATAAACAAGGAAGTATCATTTCAAGGGCACATCAGCCGAGACAGGACGAGACTTAACAAGCTGCAGGGATGTCCCCGAGGATCAACACATGCACTCACCCTTAAAGACAAAGTTGTAGGCCTCATCTGACCCCATGTTCTGCACACTCAACGCAGCCGCCCTGCACGTCACAGCTGTCTCCAGATGTAAGATGACACTGGCTCACACTGACCAAACCAACCGGCCTCTCAGACCCTCTTCAACAGAGACACGGCTCCGACACATGAATGCCAGTCTCCAGCTCTCTGCCCTTCACTACCGTTCCCCGGCTGAGTTCACAGAACACTGGCTTGTTTGGACAGGACATGTGTATCCAGGTTGTTTCTCAGGACGGGCGGCCGGGCGGGGTTTGTCTCAGAGAGTGATGGAGGTGTGTCTTAGTAATGGAGCCAGCGCAGGGCAGGTTGAACAGGTAACACAACTCCCAGGTAGGGCCGACGCTGAGAGGGACTGTCAGGTGCCTCCTGGTGGATGAATCAAATGACTGCATGCAGGAAGCAAAAGGAAATGTCTTCCTGCTGAATCACCGTAAATAAAATATAACCCTGAAGTCCAGTTTATGTGGTATCTCTGTGATATTCAACAGAAACTGTTAGTTCTTCTGCTCAACAGCAGAGAAAATAATAAAATACATCTTTTAAAGGTCCCTCCTGAATTTAAAGATGACCTGCAATAACATAATCAATACAAAACAGTTTAACTGCTTCATATTGTGTTAAAAAGACATTTATCTAAACTTCCCTTATGGTGTAAATACTTTGACATTAAAAATACTGATTCTACGGTGACGTTCACACCTTATCCTCGTCTACCTGTTGTTTTGACACAGACCCCTCCTTCTTTGTGCTCACATGCAAAACCCACAACCAGTCAGTTCAGAGCATAAACACAAAAAACAAGATTGGGCAAGTGTGAATCCATTTTTTTTTTTATTTGACAGATTTAACATTTGCTGCATTTAAATCAGACAGAAATGTACATTGAACTTTTAATTCAGCTCATAATGTGTATTTTAGGCCACTTTTCTGCATAACTGTGAATGTACACGATTTAACCAATGAAGCAGCCGATAGTGGAATCATTTCAGCAGTTGTACACGCGAACGTCCTATTGACAAACTGTGAGAATTCTAGAGCCGATCAACAAACTAAATGAAGACAAACAGTTAAAAACTCACACAAGCTGTTAGTTTCAGCAATAACGTGATTATAAATACACTGAATAACCCCCCCCCCGCCCAACACACACGTCTCACACACACGTACGTTCACTCACTCAGATATATATGCATTTCGCACTTTGTGTTACAGTAGTCCATGAATGTACTACATCACATGATGCTTTCTTTTGCAGCCAGAAAGAATCGATGCACATTTCTTCACTATGATGCAGCCACTTGAGTCAGTGGTTCCTCCAAGTACTGCACCAGTGCTTCTGCCTATAAACAAATACGACAGGAAAATACAAAATATTTCATCATTGTAGCTTCTGAAATGTGACTTTGACAAATATTCCTGGGCTATTTACGCTGGTTTTTTTTTTGCCTGTATGATTGTATATGAGCCTGGTGAGTACAGAAGACACAGTGAATATAGAAAACAACATACCAGGACAGCACAGACTGCTAGCCCGCTAACACTCTCACCTTGGCTTTAAGCATTCCGAAGCCCACCGTCTCTTTGGCGTACATGCACAGCAGCAGGTTGGCTACACGAGTGATGGCCACTCGTCCCTCCTGAGAGAGAGAGAGAGAAGAAGAATTCCTGACGCAGTGCTCCGCTCATCTGAGAACAAATTCACTGGTCATGGAGAAGTGTGCTTCTTACCATACAATCCATGAGTATGAATTTGAGTTTGTCCTCATTGAAGGCTTGGTGGCCGTTCTTGTCGTACGCTGCCCAGATGTTGCTTGCGATGGCGGCTGTCACTCGTGCGTCAGTGTCCCCATACCCAGAGTAGGCCAGGAGTGAACCTTCATTATTCAGTAGGCTGGTGAAAATGTGAACGTATGGCTGTTAGATTTTACCACCGACTGTGCAGTCTTATAATATAACTTATCAAGTTACCAAAGAATAACATTGATAGAGCTGGAGTCAGGAAAGTAGTGGAGAGGTGGACGTGAACACGCCGCTAGCAGTCTAATCAAAGTATATATTGAAGACATCAAATGAACCTTGAATAAATAATCATGTCACCTTTTCAATTCAATATTTAATACGCAAATCTACTGCGTTAGTTATCGATGGACAGACGAGATCAACGTTATTTCACCCACTCCAGTAAATTCACCTGTTACAGCAGAAGAGAGTCAAAATGAAGTAGACGAAAGTACAAACTACAATAAAAAAATAGGGAATGAAATCATTCTAAAATAAGATGTGATCATAACATACAACTTTCAAAACAGACAAGATTAATCAACGACGAGTGCAAAGTCAGTGAGATCTGATTTACAGACAAGTAAAGACTGACAGAGGAATAACGTCAAACCGGATTTTTCTAGTTATATGAGAGTAAATTGCAAAATCTATCACAACCGTCGTACTTTGCATTTAAACCCCAAAGTCCCGAGGTGAACTACTAACATTCACTCACGTGAACGCAACACGCTGCTGCACGAACCTCTCCACCCTGTGTCACTGTGACCTGACACACACACAGCTCGTCACTGTGACAAACGTGAATCCGGTGATGGTTCGGTGCAGGGATGTAGCTGCAGGAGCTGGAAACCCAAAGGAACCGCTCTGTCAAGTAGCATCTCGTTAGCATGCTGCTAGCTAGGTTAGCCTGCTAGCTAGGTTAGCCTGCTAGCTGGGCGTACTCACAGTGTGCTTTGGACTCCGTTAGTGTTCGCCTGACTGAGAACCTGCGTCAGCGCCTTCGGTCGTAACATCACTTCCCTCTGATAACAGCTGGTCAAAGTAAAAAAACAATGTCCAGTGTGTTTTTAAAGTGACAACTTGATTTAAACTGTCACATAAAAACTGCTCAACACACGGAGGCGAGTCAGCTGATGTTTTTCTTCCTGTTCCGGGTGCACAGCATTGTGGGAATTGTAGGCACAGAATTAAAATTGTTCTTTTTCTGCTTCGCTTGAATATTTATTGTGTTGATCAAATGTTCTGCACGTCAGGTTTGACACTGGAGTTTTTTCTATAGTGCAACACTTCTCATCAATATCTCAGATCAATCCATTTCTCATTGTATAGCCCGTATTCACAAATCACAATTTGTCTCATAGGTTTTAAAAATGTGCAACATCCTCTGTTTTTAAGCCTCAACGAGAGTAAAACTAGCAAAATAAACCTTATTATAGGAAAATAGATGCAGCAAAACAACATTAATTAGAAGAAATAGTTTGTAACAATATGGAAAAGTGTGTCAATGTTTAAGGTGTTTATACATAAGACAATGTCTGATAGAGATGAGAGGAGCAGCAATGACAAATGAGACTGAGGAGTTATTGTCATTGATGGGAGAATATGTGAGTAGACGTATTGTATATCAATGCATGATCAGCCGCCACCATGATCATGGTCCCCCACTACACTATTTTACAGATGTGAAAACTTTATTAGTACTTCCAATTCTTCCAAGTCTCTATGACCTTCAGAAAAAAAGTTATTGAAGAATATCTTGATCTCCAGTAGGTTTTCA